TCACGTAATCTCAGCAACCGGAATTTCCCCGGATCCCGAAAAAATTCGTGTTATTCAAAATTATCCGGTACCAAAGGATGCGAACGAAACGAAAAGATTTGTAGCTTTTGCGAATTATTATCGACGATACATAAAAAATTTTGCATACATAGCAGTTCCATTAAATAGGTTAGCAAAGAAAGGTGTAAAGTTCGAATGGAACGATGACTGTCAGAAAGCTTTTGAAACATTAAAAAACAGTTTGATGACCCCACCAATTTTAGAATATCCAAATTTTTCAAAGGAAAATACTTTTAATTTAAAAACAGACGCATCGGGTTCAGCGATAGGTGCAGTATTAACAAATGCAAGTGACAAACCTGTAGCATATGCCAGCAGAACGCTCAATAAAGGAGAAACAAATTACTGTACCATTGAAAAAGAACTTTTGGCAATAGTTTGGGGTGTTAAATACTTTCGACCGTATTTGTACGGGAGAAAATTCATTATTCAGACAGATCACAGACCCTTAGTATATCTTTTCGGAATGACAAATCCTTCCAGTAGGTTGACGAAATTTAGGTTAATTTTGGAAGAGTATGATTTTGATGTAGTATATATAAAAGATAAAGATAATGTAACAGCGGATGCCTTATCAAGAATAGAAATTAGTTCTAATGAAATGAAATCAATGAGTCACCGAGTTTTTTGTACAATGAATGTATTAACAAGAGCGCAAAGTAAAGCTGAAAGTAAGACCTGCGAGAACAATGAATCAGTTTCATCCGAAAGGACTGATCACCCTGGCGTGGTGGAATTGATAAAACAACCTGAAGATTTTTTCGAGTTGCGTCCTATTTATAAAACCGAATGTGACAAAATACTTGCAAGTAAAACAAAAATGTCCAACACGTGATAAAAGTCATAATTTAATTGTCGACAATGAATCAGATATTATTTATATGAAATGGGATATTCGATCGGCGTCAGCACTAAGTGAGACGTTGAGAGTACTCAAAGATATTGTTATGAAATATAAGATTCCGGAACTAGTAGTAATTAAAAATAAAAAAGATGCATCATCATCATTTCTGCGTGAAATAATGACTAGAGTTAATGAAGTAAGGTTCAGAAATTTAAAAATAAGCGTAATTAAAGACGTTCAAAGAATAGATGACTTAGAAGCGAGACAAATAATTCTTAACGACTTTCATATATTGCCTACAGGAGGTCACGCCGGTATAAACCGAATGTATAACAATATAAGGAAGTATTTTTTTTGGACAAAATTACGAAAAGACGTTGAGGAATTTGTAAAGAAATGTGATTCTTGTCAGAGGTATAAGCATGGAAAACACAATTTAGAACCAATGGCGATTACAACAACAGCCTATTCGGCATTCCAGAAAATCTTTTTAGATATAGTAGGACCTTTAGAGCAAGATGTTCAGAATAATCGGTACATACTAACAATACAGTGTGAATTGAGTAAGTTTGTTGAAGCGTATCCAATACCAAATAAAGAAGCCGTTACCGTAGCAGAGTCATTCGTTCAAAATTTTATTTTAAGGTATGGTATTCCACAAGAAATTGTTACAGATCAAGGTACAGAATTCTTATCGTCAACTTTCAAAGAGGCTTGTAAAGTATTAGGAATAAAACAATTGAATTCGACAGCGTATCACCACGAAACGTTAGGTGCGTTAGAAAACTCACACAAACACTTAGGTGCGTATCTAAGAATACAAGTGGCAAAACATCCGAATAGTTGGAGTTCATGGGTTTCATTCTGGTGTTTTTCGTACAACAATAGCGTGCATAGCGAAACACGTTACACACCGTTCGAATTAGTATTTGGACAAACGTGTCGACTGCCATCGAATGTGCTTACTCGGGCGGATCCTCTGTATAGTTTCGACGATTATCCATTAGAGTTAAAATATAGACTTCAGACCGCATGTAATGACGCTAGAAACAACTTGCTTTTGTCAAAAGAAAAAAGGAAAAAATTGTACGATAGTCAAATTTCAAAAATTGTAAGATATCCCACTGGTTCGAAAATTATGTTACGAAACAATGTAGGAAATAAGAGTGAACAAGTGTATAAGAGACCATATACTGTAGTTGTAGACAAAGCACCAAATATTGTAATTAATATAGGTGATAAGTTAATAGAAGTACATAAGAATAGAGTTAAGAAGTATCATGAATAATGTAAGGAAAAATTTTTTTTTGAGACGTGAGAACACGAAAAAAAAAATTTTTTCTCCCGACCGGGGGAGGTGTAATGGAATGAGTAAGTTTGAATTCGTTAGTCAGCAAATGCTTGTCCATTGCAAGGAACCAGGTCATCAATAGTGTATAAAAGTGTAAGTGATAGCTAAAACAAGGAAGTGTTAAGTCTGGGTTTGTAGTGGTAATATGGGTAAATAAATGGATAATAAATATGTAGTGGTGTTATTAACCCTGCGTTGGTCGCGCTATGAGCGATTCCCTCACATCGTTTTAATTTTTGTTAATAGTTCTAATATTTTTCATTAAATTTTTTCGAACTTTTTAACAGCTTACTTTTTGAGTTTTTTAATTATTTTGGTTGTAGATTCATTAATTTTATTGTATTACGTTCTTTTTTGCAATTTGTTTCTCGAATGATTGTATTCTAGGTGACCACCATTCTCACTGTGCGACCATCAATGTTGATATAAAGTTTTTAGATTTGTGTCAACATGACCTATAAATATTTCACGGCAAATGTGAAAACGTGAATATTTCAGTTCAGTTCAGCTTCAGGTATAATTGTTTTTATTTTTAATTTTATAGATAACAACTATCAGTAAAAATTTTAGTGACAATATACTATGGATTCTGCTCAAGAAAAACGCTTGTTACAATGGTTAGAAGAAATTGGGGCTGAAGAAGATAATTCGATAGAGAACCTTTCAGTGAACAGTGACGATAGCGAACTTGATTATGTAGAAACTAACAACCAAAACAGTGATTCTGAAATGTCGGCCGACTCAGATGCTGAACCTGATCCTTGTGGTGCTCACTTTACAGGAAAAGATATGGTAACTAAATGGGGAAAACATCCACCTTCAAAACGTATGCGTAGACGAAATTGCAACATCGTTTCCGGCCAGCCAGGGGTAAAAGACGCTGCCAAACATATAGTTTCGATTATTGACTCCTGGAAATTATATTTTCCTGAAGCGGTTTTGCAGACTATTGCTGAAAATACAAATATTTATATCGCTGAACTTAGAGACAAATACTTGCGCGAAAGAGATGCTTTAGACACAGATATAATTGAGCTACAGGCACTGTTTGGGCTTTTATATGCGGCCGGAGTTCTCAAAGCATCTCATCTAAATTTAGAGGAATTATGGAGTGACGATCCGTTTGCGCCAGAACTCTTCAGATCAGTAATGTCTCTCCAACGTTTTCGGTTCTTACTTCGTTGTTTACGTTTCGACGACATCAGAACCCGATCTATTCGTAAAAAGACTGATAAACTGGCACCAATCAGAGATATTTTTCAAGGATTTGTAAATAAATGCTCTGAATTCTATCAAGTCAGCGAGCAGTGTACCATAGACGAAATGTTAGAAAAGTTTAGAGGCAAGTGTTCTTTTCGCCAGTACATTCCTACCAAACCTGGAAAATACGGAATTAAAATTTATTCGTTAGCAGATGCTCAAAATTTTTACACATTGAACATGGAGATATATTGTGGGAAACAACCAGAAAATAGTGCATACCAAACTGAGAATAGTGCTAGTAGTCTGGTCCAACGATTAATTGTTCCTATATCAAATTCTGGGAGAAATGTAACGTGCGACAATTTTTTCACTTCCATCCCATTGGCTAAAGACTTGTTACAAAATCATAACTTAACACTTGTAGGCACGCTTCGCAAATATAAAAAAGAAATACCTCCTGTCTTTTTGGCTACCAAAGAAAGACCGCTCTTCAGTAGTATGTTTGCCTATGGGGAACATTCACTTCTTCTTTCATATGTGCCAAGAAAAAACAAAAATATACTCATGCTATCAACGGCTCATGATACAGATGACATAAATGCAGATTCTGGAGAACGTTGTTTACCAGAAGTTATATCATTCTACAATAAACACAAAGGGGGAGTAGATGTTGTAGACAAACTAAAGTCGTTGTATTCTGTGTCAAGAGTAAGCTGCAGATGGCCACTCACTATATTTTTTTCGCTTCTAAACATTGGAGGGATAAACAGTCAATTAATTTATCAAGAGAATATAAACCGGATAATAAAACGACGAGTTTATCTTAGAACATTAGCCATGGATTTAGTAAAGTCGCAGCAGATGAAGCGGCTAGAAAGAAATGTACCTGCTCAAATCAAAACTTCGATTAGGAAACAACTTGGAATTACAGAAACGCAAGTTGTGAGAAATGGTGAAAATGTCTTTTGCAGTTTTTGTCCTCGCAGGAAAAATAGAAAAACAAAAAGTAAATGCGATATGGAACAATGTGATACGCCCGTCTGTGGGGAACACAAAAAAACTGTATGCGTTAGATGCTATGACAGTATTAATGCCGATTCAGAATAATTTGTTTTTGCAGGTAGCTACAATATTTGTTTATTTTTTATTCTCGTTTGTGTTCATGGTTTTTCTGTTCAATAAAATGTTGTTCTGCACTCGTTTTTTTTACTGAAACTAATTTTGGTTCAAAAAAATCAGGTGTGAGCAAAACGCTCCCGCGCGACCACTGGCAAAAACATTTTAAGCGCGACTAACGCAGGGTTAACCAACCACCGTCGTAACTATTAGAGAGGACATCACACCAGAAGGAAAGCTGAAAATGAAAGTCCAATTGGCAACGCAGATTTTTAGTTTACAAGTGTATGCGGGGTTGAAATTTGCGGAACGTTGTGGCCAAATTCAGTCAGGTGGTGTGACGATCTCATTCTCCCGCAAGCTGGGGTGCGCTCAGGCAACACCTTCTAGAGACAAGGCCTTCGCACAGACTCATTGATAGCGTGTGACGTCACCACGATGGGTCCAGGAATATTCAGGACCGCCACAAATTGTATTTTGAATTTTTATTGCTGAATTCTCAAAAATAATTTTGGTAGTTTTCTCAGATTGTAGATTATATTGGATGTTCTGTGGATTGTAGTACGTACTTAGCAGGTCATTTTAAAACCATAGGTTAGTACCTATAGTGCAATATAATTAGAATCAAAACGTTTAACAGTTGAGGTTATGTTGAATTTGAATTGTTTTGTGTTAACTTTTTTGATCATTTTAGCAAAACTCTTTTAATTTTTATATATTTTGCAGAAATGCCAACGAAATGTTGTGTACCGAATTGCCGGGGCAATTGCAAAAATGGGCCAAGGGTGTCAACATTTATCTTTCCCAAGTCCCCAGAATTAAGAAGTAAATGGTTGGCGGCAATAAAAAGGAATTTTGAGCCTTCACAAAATTCCAGAGTGAGTTCTATCTTGGTGTACAATTTTTGCAAGCAATCTAATAACTGCTACTAGCAGGGGGGGGGGGGGGGGGGGGTTGTGTTACCCTGCTACAGATGTGGTGACATGCTGTGCGTTTGTATACTTGACAGTTTTAAAGTGTATAGATACAGACTTGGAAAAATTTTTTTTGGATGAAATTGATCAAAGACTTACCATCAAAACTTTAGCAGCAAAATCCATTGGGGAATCAGTCGACAACTTGTTTTTGGACCATCAATGCTCCAAGCATTCTTCAGACAAAATTCTGGATTTTATTTTACGTCCCATTTGTAATATTTTGCTCAAAAATTATTGCAAAAAGCACAACGACAAGTTTTTTAAAACCCCAATGGCCCAGCTAAAGAGAAAAAATTGAATAGACTGTGGTTTTGTTTGTAATTGTTAATTTTCAAGATTAGAATATTTAATTTAAATTTTTTTGAGGTTTGAATATTATCTTTCAATGTCTTGTGAGAGTGAATGTTTATGTTTGTTATTTTTAATTTTTTGCTACACTGGTACTTGTTTAAACATTTTATTACATACCTAGTTATGCAGAAGTGTAGTTCCCGTATGTGGTAGCATGGGAATTCATAAGTTGCTGCTGTTGTGGTTTTTGTATTTATGTAATGTTGTACTTTTGTAAAAAACTCTACTTAGCCTTTAAACAAAACTATGTAGGCCAACAATCCATCTTTAAAAGCAATCTTATATCAATAATGACCCCTTTTTTTAATGGTGGCATTGTAGGTTATGTCTGTTGTTATTGTCTTTATTTATCCATTTTTTGTGCAAACACACTTTCAACGATATTATGCAGACTAACGAATGATTTCTAAAATACATTTGCATTATTAATGACGATTACTTACCTTTTGTAACAATTTACAGAACGTTGACATTTTGATGCGGACCCATTACCATGACGTCACAAAACTAGTGCGCAGGCCTTATGTCTAGAAGGTGTTGGCTCAGGTATAACAGGTTGCGGTCAAAGTTCAAAGCAGTAACCGGCCACACTTTCGGTTCTCGTCGGCGTATCCACGTCCACCTGTCAACGTCATTCTTTTTTCTCTTCCCGTCCACGGGATCGATGACGTTTGTCACGTAGTGCAGTAAAGTTTCCAGGAAAATCCAGAAAGCGAGGAGTCATCTCGACTCGGAAACGTGGCAGAACGATAGCTTGGGTTACAGAAAAACCCGTACGTGTTAGTAAGTCGCCAGAGGCCGTTTACCATCCAAGGCCTCTTTATTTCCGTTACCTACACCTTTACTATGTTGCCTATATCGTTACTACCCCGTTATAACATCTTCAACCCTAATCGTTAGTACCCCAGTTAGGAGCTGGTCAGTTATTGGGTCTTGTTATGTTCTCTCTCTCGTTCGAGCTTTCGAGACTGAGTTATAGGAGTAACCTAGAGTAAAGCTCGTGGCGCCCCTCCATTTATTCGACAAAGTAACCGGTAGGTAAGTTGGCACACAAATCATTCCCCTCTGAAGGACAAACTTTTCGATAGTTTAAACACCGTTCGGTCGTCGCCCAAATCCATCAATAGACCTGTGACAGAAACATCTGAGCACTTAAAATTTTGAGACGATTTTGACCGTTTTTAGCCAAACTGGTTTTCAAACAGAATGGTAAAGTCGTAAGTGCTCCCCCTTCTATGTATAAGCAATTTTATAATTACTATTAGGAATATACAAGCATTATGGAAAAAAAATGCAAGCCCTAGGGTTCAAAAAGCTAATTATTAGGTGTCTTAATCAGGATCCCTTAGAAAACTTTTTCGGGATAATAAAGGGTTTATCTGGTCAAAATCAACGACCAACAATTTATAGGGCCGTTTAAAACCGCGTTGGTGAACAATCTAGTAAGCAACTCTAACACTACACATTGTGAATTTGATGGAACAGAGGTGTGAATTTTTTGTAGCCTGGTTAACACCAAGGTGCCCCTGTTACAAATACTGTGACACCGGTGTCACAACATTGCGTCTCAATTCCAAATGAGAGAACATCAACACTCCCTCGAGATGTACTTAATATGCGACATCAAACGTCAGCATATATTGCTGGGTGTATTTGCAAGAAAGTATTAAAGTATGACTGCCAGCAATGTTCTGAATATTTTCTTTCAGAACGTTGTACTGATAATCATACTTTAATACAATTACGGACGTATGGGGGACTCTGCTATCCTTCGTTAGAATTTATCGAAATCATTAAAACCACCAAACATCAAATTTTTGAATTATTTTTGAAAATTATAAATGCTGACAATATTTTTGCTGCAGTTGGGAGTAAAGTACCTATTGACATAACATGTTGCAGTAAACATGATGCAGACAATAATGCATTAATTAATCATGTAGGTTATGTTTAAGTATGTTACGACATTAATTAATAGAAAATTACAACACAAAGATCAACGGGCAAACGCTATGGCCGATACATTCGTAAAATTGCATGGTACTCCTATCTTCAAAAAACGTAAAGACGTACGAATTCATTGTGCAATAACAATAATTATTATGGATACATTTCTTTATTTATGGTCAATAATTTCTTTCACCAATATTTTGGGCATTCTGCAAACGTTACAGACATTACCATTTTTGTGGCGTGCAAATAAAGACAATAATGCCTTACTTACCATCAAGGTTTTTATTGCAAACCAAAACCTATTTTACTTTTCACACTGGACACTACGGCACTGTTATCTTTTCATCTTCAAAACAACTTCCTCCACTTGGTGATGCGTATATTCACTTATTGTAGAATAAGTTTGATATAATTATGTATTAATTTTTCAACTATAATCTGCTTTCTTCGTAGAAGACATTTTGAAACGTCACGCATGTCATTGCCTTAGTACTTGCGAGTACTCTGGGCCTATAACCTGTTGTGATTTCTGGTTTTACTTTTACTTCTTTGCTTGTAAAAATTGGAAATTGACTTTGTTAATCATTTATTTATTTCGTATATTCATTTTTTTTTACATAGCAACTGTTCCCTTTTTTAAAAGATAATTGAATATAAAATTAACACTCTTAAAATTTCATTCTCATCAACATCAACTCATTAACAATAGATACCGAGTTGATAGAAAACAAGTTAGTTCTACTTCTTGGCGTTGTTCAAAGAGCGGATGTAAAGGCAGGCTCATCACGGACGCCGTTCATAAAAGGGAAACCACTCCACATAATCACACACCCACCCCCGGTGAAAATGAGGTTTTATTGGTGAAGAACGCAATAAAAAAATCGGCGATGGAAAACGATGACAAACCTCGGACAATAATTCAATCGGCATCAAGCAACATGTCTGTAGAAGCTTCAGCATTTCTACAGTGTTATATGATGCTGCCAGGAGGGCGATCCAAAGACAAAGAAGTAAAGCATTCGGAACGGCATCGACATCCAAAACTCCTCAAAACGTTGCACAAATTGAAATTGATGAAACTTGTCGTACGACCGATAAAGGTGAATCTTTTTTGCTTTGGGACTCCGGAAATGATGATCCCAATCGAATACTTGTGTTTGGTACGCACAGCAACCTGGCTATTTTAGAAGAATTTAGAAACTGGTGTGTCGATGGAACGTTCGAAATCGCGCCCAGATTTTTTTACAGGTATTTACTATACATGCGTTGATTGATAATAAGGCTGTGCCGCTGGTCTATTCATTTTTGTGTAACAAGCGCGAAGAAACTTATTGCAGGTTATTACGACAATTGGTAACATTACGACCCACGTTAAACCCCTTGAGTATTTTATCAGATTTTGAAACTGCCACACTTAACGCAATATCTGCTATATTCCCCGAAGCCCAAATGATAGGTTGTTCTTTTCATTTGGCACAGAACCTTTGGAGAAAAATTCAGAAGTCCCAGCTGGTAACTTTCTATAGAGAAAACGAACACGCACGGCTGATGTGTAAGATGCTATTGGCACTTAGTTATGTGCCGGAAAGGGACGTACAGTTCGTTTTTGAAGTACTAATCGAAGATTTTCCAGATGAATTAAAGCCGATAGCCAATTATTGGGAACAGAACTACGTCGGCCGCAGACTTCACGATATAACACCTAGATTCCGTATAGATTTTTGGAACATGCATGATCGCATTAAAACCGACTTACCAAAGAGTAATAATTCACTCGAAGCATGGCATAAATCTTTCGAAAAAATGTTAGACTGCCATCATCCCAACATCGCAAGATTGATAGTCGCAATGAAAAAAGAACAGAATTTTGGGGAGTTATATATCAGCCGCTATCGCATGGGATTTAGACGTTCAAATTTTACAGGAACCAAATATAAGCGTGAACGTGACAGACTGCGAAATTTAGCGGAAGAATACACGTTTGGCAGTTATGGATTTTTTAAAGTTTGTTCCTTATAATTTGTCTTTGTAATTATATTAGCAGCGTTAGAAATATATTAATTGAGATTTTTTTTATACTCTGTTTAAAATGACTGCGCTGTTGTTGACGCGCTCATTTGTACAGGCGCTCTTTCGTACTACGCTGTTATGTCGAACGCTATTTTGACTCGGCGCTCTTTCGGTCTGCGCTGTTTTGTCCACGCGCTCTTTTGTCCCAGCGCTATTACGTCTGCGCTGTTTTGATACAGAGCCCAGCTTTGGTTATCAATTATCTTATAATTATTGTAAAGTTGCCATGTCGGATGAAGAAGAAATGAATTGCACGCCACCAAGCGTAAGATCTGAAGCAGAAAGTGTTTTGGCCGAGTTTGTTTAGGACATTTTTTATATTTTGTCGGTGCGGCCTCCACGTGTTGGCGGTGTCTTTGTAAGGCAGTTGCACGTGTGCGGACCCTGAACCTTGTAAGGCGGCCGCCGCGCCGTCTGAAGTGCGGCTTGCACCACCTCTGGCGGCGGGGTTTGGACGGGCTATTTCCCCCCTAATATCATGACATTTTTGTATGGACATTAGTAGTGTAAGTCGGATCGTTGCAATGTAACCATCGAAGGAAGTTAAAATAAAACAAAGTAAAAATATACAGTTCATTTATTTATTTTCAACGAATAAGAACCCAACAGAGTTGCTGCCTGAAAAATCAAAAGCACGTTATATAAGACAATATGACGTGTTTATAAACTGGACTGTACCAATACCGTAGTGGACTCAAAACAATTGATTCCAGGACTCTTCTCCACAGTTCAAGACAGTACAATCACTGTAAACATTTATAACAATTGTACAATAAATAAATAGTGAAAAATCAAAAGCACGTTATATAAGACAATATAACGTGTTTATAAACTGGACTGTACCAATACCGTAGTCGACTCAAAACAATTGATTCCAGGACTCCTCTCCACAGTTCAAGACAGTACAATCACTGTAAACATTTATAACAATTGTACAATAAATAAATAGTTAATTTATTGAGAAATGTTTATTCTACTATAGGTTTGGAATTATTCTCCAATGAGGTGGATTTGGAGGACCATGATTATTGCGAGTTTGGTTCATTTTCATTTTCTTTATCTGAATTCGTTGAAGATATAGTAGAGTATATTCCTGGATAATTGTAAGAAAAATGAAGCCAGTAATTCAATGCACTATTTGTGCGGCCGCAATAACATGTTCCTCCAAATCCAATTCAGGATTAATAAAATTTAAGGTCAGAGGAGGTTTAACCTATCCTTCAATTGACGTTATTAGAATCTGCAAACAAACAGAAATCCATTGCAGAAGGTAACAGAAAATAAACTTCCACCAGGAAATATTCTAGACCCTCTAGTCTAGTGGACATTATATATGCAAATTTACCATCAAATATTTTTGAGTGTCTGGATGCTCATTTTATGAGTTTGAAACATACGGTTCCAATCATGTGTGCTATTTAACAAAATAATTAATTTTACAGTATATAAAAATCCGATTTCACCATACAAATCGGAATACAAATGTGTCAGCGTTTGGTGATCGCATTCGCGAAAAATTGCATAAGACAATATTGTTCAAACATCAATAGCAAACATCTTTTTAAAATCTCTTTTCAACATTTTTTTTGACTTTGTGTGTTTTTTTTAATACATTTTCATCCACTTTTATGTTTACATTCATTGCAAGCAAATATAAATAACCTTAAATTCCCGTTTTATTCTTCTCTTCCTTACCTATCACTTTCGTTTAAAAAACCATCGCCTGTGTTGACTAAAGTAAGCAGGCAAGGATAAAAGAAATTGAATTATGTATAATTATCAGTTTAGTATATTACTTAACGGTTATGCATTAGGCAACACATATATCCGACTTGTATTGTAGTAAGTATTTTGCTACTAGCAGAAGTTCAGTTCTAGCCATCACATAGTGCAGACGTGCGTCGGTGCATCAAAGGCCTTACCATCTGTTGTTCCGTTGTGTAATTTATGATAGTTCCGGACCATCTGTGAAAGTTGTCATTGTCTGATTTAAACGGATCTGTTTTCTTCAGTGAATTTCTTCGAAGTGTACCATCCTTTTACGAAAACATGATTCCATGCAATAACTGTTTGAAAGCTTCAGCTGGTGCTCCAGTTATACATTGTGATGTTTGCCGTGGGCCAATACATCAATCATGCGCTGGACTTTCTGACAATGATATGAAACTAACGAGATCAAAATCAAGAAATGTCAAATTACTCTGCAACAATTGCAGTGACAACATTAGCAAATTTAAAGACTTTCAAAATCTATTATCATCTCTTAAAAATGAACTTTTCGACACGTTAAAGAAAGTCACACATGATGTAGATGCAAAAATCGATAAATTAAAAGATATTCATCGGCATAGTAGCGAACAGTTTGAACTAATTTGTCAAGAAATCAATTATCGACAAGCTCGTAAACGCAATATCATAATTTACTGGGCTCAAGAGCAAAATGCATCTCTGCCCACAAATGTGCGTAAGAACAATGAAGACGACCTAATCTCCGAAATTATCTCCACAACTGCGCCTACTGTTCCCTATGATATTACTACCATCCACCATCTAAGACTTGGACGATATAATACAGCAAACACCCGCCCGCGTCCCATCAAAATTACTTTAAGCGACGAATTTCAAGTACACAGCATTATCAAAAATGCTCACAATCTCAAGAAAAATGCCAGACTTTCCGGAATATCAATCGCTTTTGATCGTACACCCAAGCAGCAAGCCCATTACAAGGACGTTCGCACCGAACTACAACGAAGAACTGCCAGCGGTGAGAATAATCTAATAATTAAATATGTCCAAGGCCAATCGACAAGTAACAAGTTAATTTAAACTAATTCCACCCAAATACAGCAACAATTCAGGTCTTCTAACATGTTATTATTAAAATGTACATGGTCTAAGGTCCAAGGTCGCAAATTTTTACAACTCCATAGTCACTATTGAATATGATATCATATGTCTATCCGAAACATGGCTTACAAAAGATATTAAGGATTGTGAGCTGTTTCCATCAGATTTCAACGGTTATCGAGGCGATCGCAATATTCCAGGAGTCAACAGAAGGGGTGGCGTTTTAATTGCTCTTAAAAACAATTTTGTCTGTGAAATTTTAAATATGGACTCAGTTACTAAGGTAGCTTCCAATATTGATATAGTTGGAATTAAGGTTTCTCGTAATGATGCCGCCCATTTTTACGTGATTGTGTTATATATTCCTCCGTCTGTAAATTATCAAACTCCAACAACTTGCTTCGAAACATTATCCCTATTAGATTACTTTTAGAATGATAATGTAAGAGTGGTAGGAGATTTTAACATTCGTGAATTTACTGATATCAACTCAAGGTCCAAATATGTTCTGTTGGTTAAAGACTATCAAGAATTATTTTCTTTTACACAACATAATAACTGTGTTAATAGTAATAACCGAACCTTAGATTTAGTATTTTCAAATAATATTGTTCAAATTGTACAGAGAGAAAAAAAATCCCCTTATCGAAGAGGACGTTCATCACCCCACACTTTTAATTGACCTAAATATCATCAACCCCGAAATTCATGAAAATTTTGTTAGTGACATTTCATCTAAAAAATATAACTTTAAAAAAGCCGATTATCTAAAACGCTATGAGCTGCTACAAAATGTTAATTGGTCATATTTAGAAAAATTTAACGATGTAAATCAAGCAACGGAAGAATTTTATAACAAATTATATAATATCCTTGATAGCACTGTCCCTTTAATTAAATCGGTTAACAAAGCTCAGTCAAATAAATATTCCCCTTGGTTTACCAAAGAAACTATTCAAAACATTCGGAAACAAAGTTCACTTAGAAAAAAATTCAAAAAATATCATAATCAATATTTTAATTAACAATATAGCAAACTACGATCATTAATAAAAAGGCAAATTTCTGTATCTTTCAAGAAGTATATTAAGGCGGCTCCAGACCGCAGCGCAATACCGCGCAAAACGTTCGCGAACGTTGCAAATTTCAGCGAACACGACTGGTTTGGACGCCATGCCGCGCACGAACGCGCGAAGCTGCGCCCATTCGCGCACGAACAAATATGTTCCGCTCAATGTCGGTACATCAAAGAAATTTGCACGTTGCAACAAGTTTGGTTTGGACGTGATTTCCATCTGTAGTTGCAGTTTGTTACGTGCGCTTGTGAGGATAGGTTATTTAATTATAAAGCCTTTTTGGCAATTTAATAAAAATGAGTGAATGGAATCACGAGCAAAGCATTGCATTAATAAATGCATATGAACGAAAGCCCCAACAATGGGATTGCAATAATAAAGATTACCATTTAAGAAACAAAAAATATGATGTGTGGATTGAACTCGCAGAAGAAATGAACAGTGATTCAGAGGTGGTAAAAAATAAAATGACCTCTTTGCTGTCTTCATTCCGAAGAGAACGTGCCAAAATTAAAAGTACAACCAGAACAGGAACAGGTATTTTTATTTTCATTATATATCATATTCTTAATATAATAACACATATTGATGTAGTCAATAAATTTTAGGACAGAAAGACGTTTACAAAAGCAAATGGTTTGCATTTTCAAGTTTTGCTTTTCTAATGGATAAAAACAAAGTCAGAGAAACCTTCAACACGGAAACTGTAGGCATCTGATGTTTGTATTTAATTGTATTTAATTTTATTGAGCAACAAGTAAAACATTCTATGCATAATCGTTTTGCCAAACTACACTTCCACTATTCATAAAGTATGCTGCTGTTTCACCTCTAATTTCTTGAGCACTCATAGCCGATTTCCGTGGAACCCTTCTCAAAGGAAGAAATGATTCGCTTGGAGATTGTTCTTGTCGCCAACTTCCTTCGATTAATTGCCCATTTTCTTCATAGTCCAGTGTTCCTCTAGGAGTATATAAGTCACGTGAAACTTTACTTTGTCTTAGGAAATTGTGTAGATAAAGAGTTGTTAACACAACCAGTGCTGCTTTATTTGGTTCCAACATGTTTCGTCTGTGAAACATAAAACAAGAATACAAACTGCGGGCAGTTAAAAAAAAATTGACGGTTTTTTTGTAACACAACACCACGACCTGCTGCATTAGTTAATACGGCCTGTTCATAACTGTAGTTCCACTGTATCCTCCGATTTTAGTGAGGGCGCTAGCGGATGGGCGCATTTTAGGAATTTTTATTATTTTATGTTGGTTGGATGGTACTCACTGTTTTTTGGTGTCAAATCTGACATTCAAATTAAAATTCTCTTGAGAATCTTTAAGCGCGCTGAAAGTAGTTATTTGTGAAGTCCATTTGTTATTGTTCGTTGTTTTTCTTTTTGATTTGCAGTTTTCGTTCCTTTTTTATTTGTTTTGTGGTGTTTCGTTCCCATTTTGTCGTTTCAACTCGTTTAGTGTTTCGTTATTATTTCATAGTTTAATTAGTGTTTGTTTTTTGTTGTTTTGTTCCTATTTGGTCGTTTAACTTCAGTTAGTGGTTCGTTATTATTACATAGTTTAAGTTGTTACGTTAATTTTACTGGGACGAAAATGCGGTTCCACAAAAAATGCATTGTGCCCCAGTGCCCTGCCAAGTACTCAAAGTCTTTCCATCAGTTTCCCTCTGAGCCCCTCTTAAGAGAAAAATGGCTACATAAAGTAGAGAAGTTTTGTTGTAAGAAAAGCTTATTGAACACTTATTTTTTTTAATACTAAATATTAATTATTATAGCTCCAACGCAGCAGATCGTCAGTCAGTACTCAACCATTTGCAATTTGCACTTTAAACCCACAGATTTTAAGTTTGCAGCAAATGGTAGTAAACGCTTGCAAAAAAATGCAGTTCCAACAGTTTTTCATGTATATTTATTTACATTTTAAACTTAACAGAAATAAAATTATAGTTTTTATAGGGTGATGATGCTTATTACGCATCCATACACGAATCCTTCGTTGCCCTTGCCCAGTCTTCTACTCCTTTAAATATCAAGCCCTCATCATCCATTATTCCTGTAATTACAATCCTTACAACTGTGAAAATATAAGCGAACAGTACATTAATAACGTAATTTAAAGTTAGGAGTAAAATTATTTTTCTGTTCCTACCTATTTTCACACTTTTTTAGAACTTTCCTCTAATAATTATTTATTTTAGAGTACTGTTACTCCAAGATTATCTCCTCCCTCCCAATCAACATCCACGTGTCCAACATCGACAGAAGAACCTCCAGTAATATTTTATTGGCAGTTAATAAATTTTAATCATATTTTTTTAAATTGTAGAATCCTGATTTAAGTCACTCAACAATTCCTTCTGAACCTGAGTCCTTATATAATGAATCCCAAACATTAAGTTCCAATACTGATCTTCGTCTTGATGATATATCAAAACTTAAACTTGAAATCAAAAAACTGAAAATGAAAGTAAACCGTTTGGACAAACAGAACAAACTGAAAAATAAACAGCTACAAAAACTGCAATTAAAAATTGACAATCAAACGAATCAAGCCCGTATATTCGAAAAAATTGAAGCTGATGCCAAGAATAACGAGCCAAAAGCCACGTTTCTATTAGACCAAATATTAAATTACAACAAACAAAAATCTAGATGGTCAGAAGTAACTGTAAGATCATGTATTGCCTGGAGGATTTCATCCCCAAAGGGATACAACTATGGTAAAGCTTCTATATTGAAATTACCTAGTCGAAGTACTTTAGAACGGTATATAGGAAATGGACAAGATGTTACAAGACTTATAGAGGCACGCTTGAAAGCAGAAGCCGAAGTGCTACAACCCGTTGAAAGGATTTGTAGTTTAATTGTTGACGACATGTCCATCAAGGAAAAACTGTGTTACAGCCGCACAGAAGACAAATTCTATGGGTTAGAGACTACCAATGAGAGTAGTCAAACAATTGGAAAAAAACCAACGTTGGCCAACAAAATGTTATGTTACGTTGTTCACGGCATGACTACTAAGTACACGATACCCGCCGGATATTTCTTCCATCGAACTCTAAAAAACATAGATTTTGTGAATTTGACGTTAAAAGTAATCAAACTTTTACATAATTGCGGATTTACAGTTTTAAGAATTGTGACAGATAACCATAAGTCAAATGTGGCCCTTTTCAAATCTCTGTCATCAAGTAATAATTTAATGACTCATATTCAACATCCAATAGAACCAACAATACCATTATTTATTAGCTTTGATTACTGTCATATTATTAAAAATTTGAGGAACATATTTTTGGACCATGACATGCATTCTGGTAACGGTATAATTTCTGCACGATTTTTAAAGAAAATATATGATATGCAACACAAATTAATTGTTAAACCGGTAAAGTTTTTGACCAGGAAGCATATTTGCCCAACCAATTTAGAAAAGATGAACGTCCGTCGTGCTGTGCAAGTATTTTCCATAGAAGTAAGAGCAGCAATAGAGTATTTGGGAAAATATAACAATCCAGGTTTTGTTGATGTTGAAGAGACTCTAAAGTTTATGGAAATGATGCACACATTTTTTAAAATTCATGATGTCAATGACAAAACTCAGCACATCCGGCAACTAAATGAAAATAGTGCTCCATATACAGATATTAATGATGAACGCCTTCTCTGGATGTTAAAAACTTTACCTGCTTATATAGATTCCATTCAACTATCTTCAAAGGCAAATAAAATGACGGGATTGACTAAAGAGACTGCAGAAGCAGTAAAATTCACTGCCAAAAGCACTGCAGAATGTATCAAGTATTTACTGGAAGAGAGTGGCTTTTTCTATGTCTTAACGCGAGCATTTAGCTCAGATGCAGTTGAATCGATGTTTAGCAATGTCCGATTATGCGGTGGTTCTCAGGACGCTACTGATGCACACTATGCTATTAAACGAATAATTAAGTCAGGTTTAGTAACAACTTCAGAATCAGCAAATGTATATTCTGACTGTAATCACTTGAGTAAAATTGGTCAAATTCAGTCTTCTGAAAGATCTACAACAGAAACAAATATACATATACCTGACAGTATAATTGAAGAAATTAGTGACCTTCATAAATTAACAATCGTTAATACCATTTTCACAGATATCAACTCTGCATCAGTTGCGTTTTTATCTGGATGTATTTGTAGAACAATTGAAGAAAGGTTAGAGTGCAAAAATTGTTTAGATTCATTACTAACCACCGCAAAATCTACCCCGTTGCTTGACTTGATATATCTGCAAGACAGAGGAAAATTAAAATATCCCACAAGATCATTCACAAATTTTATAAATAAAATTATAAAAATTACATTTGATATTTTGGAACACATACCAGTAAATCATCATCCAAGAACTGTGGTGGAGTCTTTGTTATTAGAGCCAATTGCCAGTTCAGCTTTTTTGCCTTGTGAAGATAAAAACCACAAAGTAATGGTTGCGAACTTAATATTGTCTAAAGTGTTGAAACCAATTTTTGCAAATTTTGGTTATACAAGAACTGAAAATGTTACATTGTTTAGTAATTTGACCCATAAACCCCATTCAAGAAAAGTATTAAAATTATAAACATACCTGTCTGTTTTTTTATATTCTTCCAGCGCTAATTAGGGTGAAATTTTACAAAAGGCACTTCTCGATTTCGCACAAACTGTTTGGTTACAATTCTTCTACACCACCCCCTAATCACGTTCCTCACCTTCAAATGTTTCCTTTTGCTACAAAAAAAAAATGTTAAATTTCCCAATTCATACTCTTTAACGGGAAGCTGTTTTCACATTTTCCAATTTAACCTAACTTCTTATAGTCACCAACACGCGTGGAGTAATGTCGGGAGCACAAGAAAACAGTTGTACAACTTTTGAAGGTGAGGAACGTGAACAGGGGGTGATGTAGAATTGCTTTGGGGAAACAGTTGATGGGAAATCGAGAAGTGCCTTTTGCAAAATTTCACCTTTGCTAGTCCTTTTTGTTGTAATTTTCAACCATTTAACACCATAGAGAGGATACGATTTATGATTCAACGTTTAACCGTTTAATAAATTGTTCAAAACATTTGACCTAACCCGATTTAACCTATTTATAAACCTTCAAATTTGAAGTTTGTTTGACAATTGTCAAGGTCAAAAGCGCCCCTCCAGTGCTGCCCTCACGCCCTGACGGCAAAATTTTTTCAATGCATTTTTGTGGAAATGAACAGGCAGGATATAATACAGCCGGCAGTGCACAACACACCAAATTAGAAGAAAAAATATTGTGCGCAGAAGCTACACACGCTTTTCACACGCTTAAACATCATGCAAGTTATAAATCATGTGATTGTACAACAAAATTATACAAGCACATGTTTTCGGATTCTGAAATTGCTTCCAAAATTTCTTCTGCTCGTACTAAAACCGAGGCTATTGTCAATAACGTGCTAGCACCACATTCTCTCCAGAGGGCTATGGAGACAGTAATGGTATTCCCTTTATTGGAGTATGTACCGATGGTTCGAATCACGGCGCAACAAAGTTATTTCCAGTTTTGATTCAATTTTTTGACAAGAAACTGGGCATAACACACAAACTCATAGAAATGACGTCAGTTCCAGATGAAAAAGCGGAAACAATTTGTGCTTTATTAACCGCTACATTAGAAAAAAACAATTTAACACTTTCGCTGCTGAAAGCGCACATGTGCGTCCTGATGTTCCTTAAGCCGTGTGCTGAGGCCGCACATGTGCGCTTCGCTACAATAGAATTTCTAAAGGGCGCCAATCGGTCAGCAAACGCGCTAAACGTTTGAAACTTTGCCAGCACCTAGAAAAAGGTTTAAAAAATTTGAGGTTATGATGGTTCGCCGAAATTTTTATTTCGTGTCATGGACAGAGGCCGCGATGGACGATCAACAAGCAGGACGTTCTGGGATAAATTTGAGGCCAAAAAGGCCTAGAATAGAAGTTCGTGATCCTAATAGGCTAACATATAATGAAATGGAACAAATATTATACAATTCTGATTCGGAAATTAGTGATTTGGATTCGGATTTTGAGGTTATAAGTGAAGAATCTGAGGACAACGATTCTGAAAGCGAGCATGGTAATAAATTTTTTGTTTTTATATTTAGTTTTATCTCTAGTATTAATATTGTATACTGTACTTGTCAAACAGTTATTATTTAATTTATTTTTTTTTTTGAAGAAACCAGGTGAAAGAAAAACCTCTTCCGATAGGTGAATATAACAAATATATGAGTGGCATCGATATGCAGGACCAAATGACTTCCTACTATCCCCTCACTCGAAAAACCTTACGATGGTATCTCAAGCTTGGGATACATGTTTTGCAACTATTACTGCTCAATTCTTTTTACTTATATAACAAATTTGAAAATAAAAAACTTGCACTAAGTGACTTTAGAATTGCAATAATAGAAAATCTTTTACCTGAAGGTAAGGACAAACCACCTCAGCCTCGTAAAACAATGGAACACATGCCAAAGAAAATTGAAGCTACAAATCCAAAGGGAAAAACACTTCGAAAGAAATGTCGAATTTGTTCTCAAAAGAAAATCAGAAAAGACACAGTTTATTATTGCAGCGACTGCCCTGAGCAGCCAGGATTATGTTTAGAAAGATGTTTTAAAATTTACCATTCCAAAAAGGATTGATTTTGTTTTGTTTTGCTTTTTTTGTGGTTCAAGAAAATAGTTTTTTTTTTTAATTTTGTTCCAATAATTAAAACGAAAACGTTTATTTTTTATAAGAAACTTTCTTTTATGTGATAAATACAATATACATATAATTTTGTTAAATATTTTTTTTGTTTCATTTCTGTCTTCAACAAGTAAATAAAAAATAAAAAATTAACGATTTTAACTTGTTTTTGTTCAATTATAGCGAGATTTTCACTAGACGCAGAAGTGCGTCTTGCCGCACATAGGATGGAAAACTTCACTCATGTGCGGCGGACGCACATGTGCGTTTTTGCGTCACAAACAGTCAAAAAAAGAAAAAATGAACAAAATAGACAAAAAAGAACTTTAAACAAGGCAAAGAAGTGCCTAATTTGCTAAAAACTACAACCGCACACAGGTAAACCTATGCCACTTCGGGTCAGCAGCGAAAGTGTTAAAAGAAAAGTGTATAGCATTCACTGGTGATAATTGCAACACGAATTTTGGAGGTGTAAGCAGAAAAGGAGTTAACAACGTTTTTCAACATTTACAAAACCATTTACAAAAGTCTCTTATTGGCATAGGTTGTCCAGCTCACATTCTAAATAACTGTATCCAACATGCTTTAGATGGACTTCCTATAGATATCGAATCCATCGTTTTGAAAATATACAATTATTTCTCTATATACACTGTTCGAACAGAGGCTTTAAAGGATTTTTGTAATTTTGTTGAAATACAGTACAAGAAACTCTTGTTCCACTCCAAAACAAGATGGTTATCTTTATTTCCTGCGATTAACAGATTGCTGGAAATATATCCAGCTCTAAAATCGTACTTTTCATCACTGGACCATCCACCTGTAATAATTATAAATTTTTTCGAGAATCCTTTGAATGAGGCTTATCTGTGGCTCATACATTCTCTTATGTATATTTTTCATGGAAAAATAGAAAACATGGAAAAAGAAAGTCATTCACTAATAGAAGTAATGAAAATTTTAAGTTCAGTGGAATCTAGTTTGATTGAGAGGAAGCAACAGGAGTTTCTGCCTCTGAAAGTGAAACAGATCATAAACAGTCATGTACAAAATTTACGAAGCACGACAATGAAAGACGAGTTGGTACATGTGTATGAAAGAGGCATACTCTATTTACAAAAGTGGACGGCATCTTTCCAGGAATTTAAAATATTTGAGTGGATGTTATTGAAGATAAACCTTCTTGGGATAACATTGAAAATTGTATTTTGTACCTGGTTGAAGAAAAGGGCTTACAGATAAACGATTCCATGCTGTTTGATCAATTAAAGAATTTAAATATTTTTTTAGACGAGATTAAAAAGACAAATAATGAATTCGCTACGCTTTCAGCTGATTTAAAATGGGTAAAATATTTTCAAGAGAGAACAGAAGCAGCAAGTTCTGAATTTTTAAAAGTATGTTTCTATTTTTTTGCCATTCCGGGTCATAACGCAAATGTTGAGAGAATATTTAGTATGATGAAAGCAACCTGGACTGACCAAAGAAACAGGTTGACGCCGGAATCTATTAAAAAGATATTGGTGGTGCAATATAATTTCAAAAATTTGACTTGTGAACAATTTTATGATTACTGTCTTCGAAACAAAGGACTCCTAAAAGAAGTGAGAAGCAAGGCTAAATATGACTTTTCAGTTGGTGCTGCTTCTTCTTCCTGTTAGTTTTTTACTGTTGTTTATATATGTTTATTGTTAACTTACTTCGAACGAATATGATATTTTTGTTTTATTTTTTTTTTTTAGTTTAGAACTGTTATTCAGGAGAAATACATGTATACATACATACATAGTGTTGTGGTTCTTTAATAAAATAATACACAATATGTGAATATACCTCTATGAATACTTGGAAATTGTAATAATAAAAATTTCAATTGTACTCTTTTTCATCTGATGTAGGTTGGTAACCCTACCGTGGAGGCCCGCGATTTTTGTGCCTCCGGACCCCGAGAGTTTGACGCGCAAACGTTTCTCCCTCTAGAACTCATCGTGTGCATAATAAAACTGAATGTGAAGCCCGACGCGAACTGCAGCGGCCGGAGAGGCCGGTCGCCGTGGGCGGTTTTCTTTAACAGGTTTAGCGTCAAGGTAATTCGAACAGAAAGTCACCCTGGACCAAACCGTTTTTTTGACAATTTCTCAGATATAGTTTTATTTTTTATCAAAAAAATACTTTTCAATTTTTGTTTGTTTGCCAATTGACAAAAAACAGACAGCGGACACCGGTGTCCGCTGTGGCCCGTTTACAATCTTAGCGGACACCGGTGTCCGCTGTGGAACGTGACTACCGAGCGGACACGAGACGACCCGAAGTGTCCGCCATTGCAATTTTACAGGTTTTGTCTTAAAATCTGCTATTTATTTGGGTGTTATTAGTGGCGTTGTGTTTATTTTTGTAGAAAAAATGAACAGTCGTGGAAAACGAATTGTAAAACTAGCTTTAGAACAAAAACAGCATTCTGGTGGTAAGTGTCCGAAAATTAGATGTTATATGAAATATCACACTGATAATTTTCAATAGACGAAGATTCACTAAGTGAACCGTACTCAGCAGATTCTGACGTAGATCCAGGTTTTGTTTTACCTGATAGTTCAAACTCAGACAATTATTCTACTGATAGTGATTGCGAAATTCCTGTAAAAAAGACGAAGAATATTTCTTCTTTATCGGTAGGAAATGAAAATATGCCAGGTCCTTCTAACATCTTTCGTGGTAAACGCACCACAAAAGAAATAGAAAGCAAATATCAAGATATAACAAGTGAATCTGAAGAAGATATAGAACGAGAACAGGTGAAAGATAGTTCTGCAGTTTTTATGACTCAAAACACTCGGAACGCAAATGCAGGTTCTACTCATTTTGGAGACGATAATATAGCACATGAAGAATGAATTGAAACAGAAAATGATGCTGATCAAACGCTATATGATTTGACACAATCAGTCTGGGGTCCTCCTGTAGGAAATCATCTTCAATTTGAAGAAAATTTTGAAAGTGGGATGAAACAGGAATGGCAGGCCGCATTGATGGGACACCACCCAATTGACTATTATTTTGCTTTTGTTGATTTTGATATAATTGATGCAATTGTGGATCAAACCAACATTTATGCAACGCAGTTTGTTATGCCCGTATCGACTTTCAGGCGTTTTCCAGACGGATTTGAAAGACCAGTTGCTTTTGCATCCAGGTCGTTGACAAAAGCTGAACGTAGTTATAGGCAATTAGATAAAGAGGCAACAACCATCTATTGGAGTTTCAAAAGATTTTTTCATTATATTTATGGAAGGAAATTTATTCTAATTGTGATAATAAACCACTGAGTATTATTTTAAATCCTCAAAACAACTTCCAGCCTTATCTGCAACCAGAATGTTAAGATATGCACAATTTTTATCCGGTTTCAATTATTCCATCGAATGTCGAAAATCCAGTGAACATGTAAATGTTGATTATTTCTCCAGAAGTCCATTGAAATTATCACCAAAAGGAGAAGAAAAACTGATGATGAATACGTGTTAAA